GAGAGAAGAGGGGAGGAGGAAAGGAGTAAGCTTTCGTTACAGTTTTTTTTTCTTTCTTTTTTTAAAAAAAGTTTTAGTTAGAGTTTTGCCGCACTTGCAACACAATAAGGTTGCATTTAGTTTTTTAGTCTTAGTAGAGATTTTAGGGCGTTTGCAACACAATAAGGTTTTATATAAGTGCCGAAGAATAGGTGTTACAAGAGAGTAACAAACATAAAAAAGAAGAAGGGGAGATAAGGACGACAGATGTTTGATAGGAAAGAAGAAGCAAACCACACCAGAGCACCCACCAACCACCCACAAAACAATGCTTCAATAGAGTAGTGGAGGAGGGGGGGGAGAGGGGAAGAGAGGCCAGCAAACAAGAAATTTCCCATGGGACGTTTGTGGCGACAAAGACCCTTCTTCAACACTTACATAGAGCTTATCGTCCACAAAATGAGCAATGTCAAAACATTCACAACGTTTTTTCCCTCACAGACCGTGTGATCAAGTACATATACGTCATCCCTCCTTTTTCTTTTTAATATCTTAATGAACCACCGTTCTCAAACAACATTAAGCTTCATCTTATGACATCCACTTATGAGGCTCATTAAAGCTGTCCACTTCACTCTAAAGCGAGTGTGTTTGTGTGAGTGTGTGTGTGAGTGTGTGTGTGTGTGTGTGTGTATGGAGAGAAAGAGAAAGAGAGAGGGAGGGGAATGTGTGGAGGGGAGGGGGAGGAGGGAAGGAAGGATCTAAATAGCCGTCTGCCCTCTAAGATAAAAGCAAGAGATTCCCCTGCTCAGCCAAACACTTCAGACAGCACTCTAAATCGTAATGTTTACGGTGCTTAAGTCAGAATGTTTACCTTCCACGCACCGCACATGAAGTGCTCGACCCCCACCGCCCCCTTTCCTCCATGAAAAAAAAAAAGCGATGAGGTTTTTTTGGGTTTTAGTAAGAGCTTGGTGGCTTTTTAAAAATGGTTTTTCCTAAGTTTCTTGGCACTAGTAACACAATAATGTCACATAAGTGCCAAAGATTAAATGCGCTAAAAGAGAGTAACAAACACAAAAAGGAGGAGATATAAGGGCGATAGATGTTTGATGGGAAATAAGGAGCAAACCACACCACTTGCAAAAACAATTGTTGGTTGCTCAGGGCCTTCCCCTGCCTCGTTTGCCTTCAATTTTGCCAGTGAGGGGTAGATGTTCAAGACCTTTATGTCTATTCGGGTGTCCCAAAAACTGCATTTGTCGATTCCTCATAGTTTTTAACAGTGAGCGTCCCACGTGGGCTTCATCAAGAACTACCTCATTTGATTTTTCTTTTCCTCCCACGGTATTCTCATCAGTCTCCTAAAGAAACCACATTTTTATTGCTTCTATTTTATTTTTTCCGCGCCAGTACGCACAATTATTGAAAGGCAAAACGCAAATCGCTCTATATCCAAGAAAGTGCAGCACATTTCGCCCTGTGCCGGTCATAATTTGATAGTGAACTGGAATTACGCCACAGTGTCCGATCTAGGATAGAAAAGTCAACGACAATTTAAATAATATAGATCTAATGCATTACAGT